TTAGATAGATTAGATAGATTAGATAGATAATAGATTAGATAGATTAGATAGATTAGATAGATTAGATAGATTAGATAGATTAGATAGATTAGATAGATTAGATAGATTAGATAGATTAGATAGATTAGATAGATAGATAGATTAGATAGATTAGATAGATTAGATAGATTAGATAGATTAGATAGATTAGATAGATTAGATAGATTAGATAGATTAGATAGATTAGATAGATTAGATAGATTAGATAGATTAGATAGATTAGATAGATTAGATAGATTAGATAGATTAGATAGATAGATAGATTAGATAGATTAGATAGATTAGATAGATTAGATAGATTAGATAGATTAGATAGATTAGATAGATTAGATAGATTAGATTAGATAGATTAGATAGATTAGATAGATTAGATAGATTAGATAGATTAGATAGATTAGATAGATTAGATAGATTAGATAGATTAGATAGATTAGATAGATTAGATAGATTAGATAGATTAGATAGATTAGATAGATTAGATAGATTAGATAGATTAGATAGATTAGATAGATAGATAGATTAGATAGATAGATAGATAGATAGGATAGGATAGATAGATTGATTGATTGACTGATTGATTGATTGATTGATTGATTGGTTGATTGATTGATTGATTGATCGATTGATTGATTGAATGATCGACTGATTGATTGATTTATGCATTCACACACACATGCATGCATATGTCACTGACGGAGGCGAACCAGTTGGTCGGAAAGATATCCCGAATGATCAGTTATCAAGGAAATAGTGAAATCTTGCCATCCTGTCGTTTGAAATGAAACGTTTGTGCATTATTTGAAACATTGTTTACAGTTCAGAATGAAATTTTCGGCAAAACTTCTAATGGCAAAAATAATCGTACTTTCCCATTCTTTTCTCTGTCCCTTCTTTCCTAAAAAGAGAAAAACAAAAACATTTTACAAAACACACATTTATGAATTCACATACCATTCATATATGTCTTTCCTCAATTTTTATTGGGAATGTTTTTCTCTTTTTGGTTAATTTCAGAGGCAATCCTGATTATCGATGGTCTGAAGAAAGTTAAAAAACAAAACTGGAAGTAAAGAATGTATATGTCTCGAAAATATGCAAATCGCAAAGTGATGTAAATATGATAACACTGGTAGGAAAAAAAAAAACAGTGTTATTTAAAGTAACACAGATGTAAAGAGCACAGTGCAGTAGTGAAATGAATTAGAGTTTCTGAGATGATGATGTATGAATAGGTGAAGCGCACTTGTACGTACTACAATACTTGTTGGATGGAACAATGGCTGAAGAGAAGTGCACCTCATTGAAAAAAAGTGAAAGTTTAAATAGATATTTTAAATAGGTGATGATAGAAAGGACGGAAAGGAGACAGATTTTAAAATTCTATTTGAAGTGCATCATGCTGAACTTCGACACTGCAGCTCACATGCCCTCCTATGAAATAATGTATTCATTGCCACATTTTCTCGACTGTAATATTACATGGTATTTCTACCACTTATCAATGCAGAATCAGAATATGCAAAGCTGTATGGCGCAGTATGTATGCACATTACCCGCTTCATAAATCCCTCCTCTCTTACTTCGAGATTTGATTGCCAACGTATGCTTAGAGTGGTTAACTGTTGACGAGGAAGTCATGTTAGTATGGAACCATTTGGAAATCTATGCTTCCAGAACTGCCGGAATAAATGATACAATTAGGTAACTCATTAAACATTACTTATATATGATAAAACCAGGCATGATGACATTGCTGGATTTGTTTATTCATCGGTTTACATTTTTTGTTGACATGATGAGTTTATATTTTTTGACGTGTTGACGTGACGTGATATCTTTCTTTAACTCGTTGAAATCTTTTCACGTTTAACCTAATGAAGAAAAGTATAATTGATCTTCATTTGTATGAGTTGTTCGCTACACTTTCTTCAATGTTCTGGTGGTTAAACAGAATTTCCAAGTTTTGACATCTTTTAAACCAAATATTTTTGTGGCTCAAGAGCAAAAATATACACTTTATTAATGAAGTTTACTAATAAAAATGACAACCATCCATCTATATTAAGTAATTTTGCCGCTGAAATTCACTTTTTAATCTTTATTTGATTATATCAAATGTGACTCTTGGGTTTTTTTGAAAATTTGTATAAATCCAGTTTCTTAGATTTTCAGACAACAGAGATATGTTCCAGCCTACTTATGATGACTTAAAATTTATGACTTGAAACCAGGACTACTTTCTACCAATGCAATACATTCAGTTTATATGAAGAAAAAAAGAAAAAACCACGAAAAGTTGTGGAAGGAAATCTGTGCTTTGTTCAGCGTACCTTACATGTCGAGGTGCTGCATTTATGTATAACATTCTTCATTTCATGTATTTTATTAATCTTTTCTTTCTTGGGATTCACTAAAATATTCAGTGCAAGAGGTAATTTTTTTCATTCATATTTTCTAGGTTCCTTCAAACCGTTGCTACATTCATTGTTCTTAAAGCTGGAATTATTCCTGGAACTAAAGAATATCTTTCCCCACTGTAGTAATATCCATTTGCTTAATGATACTGCACACTCTTTTAAATATTAATTGTTGGCACATATAAACAAATATTTCTCAAACAATTCTGCTTAGCAATAGTTTTTTTATTAACCCTATGAAAATCTGAAGCGTAATTTTACGAACAAAATATAAATCTAATATTCAAGAACAAAAGTCTCATTTGTAGATATGTAGAAATACTGGTGTTTGGTTTCAATTCTACCTCCTTGAACTTTTAAATTCCAAAAATCAAGAATGTTTGATACATCAAACTGTACAGCTCAAAAAGATTTTGCGGACAGAAAATGAGTTGAAATGTGGAATGTGACAATTGAAATGTGGAATGTGACAATTTAATCGATAAAACTGATGAAAATAAAACATATGCAAAGCACATCAGCAACAAGAAAGGAGGAGTTTCTGTAAAGTTCATCTTGGCTAACTTATCCAACATGAGTACGTGAATGTGAAGACGTATCTGTTGACAGCCATAGTTCATGCGTAGTTAACGAACAGTGTTGATTGGAACAAATACAGACACACATGTAGACAGACAGGAACATGCCAGAAATAATTCCCATTCAATTATTTCATTCCGATTTTCGATTTTTCTTGTAGTAGGTGGGTGTTCACTTCTTTATTGAGTTTTATCGACTTTCTAACAGTGTTTTACGAGTAACAACGGTTAAGACGTGCAAGGACTGGATGAGTTGGATTAACGAAGTCAGGAAATAAGCGAGTAAGATGAGTAAACAGTTCAACTTTTAGGACAAGCAGAGAGCAGAGAGAGGATGCTAGTGAGTAACATTCCGAGTAATACAAACTCTTTAAATGGAACAGAGAAATGAAATACGGCAACACCACAGCTTCTTTCAAATAGATCAAATGAAGTGAAGGATGAAATTCCCTGGCAGATGAATTTGTGACCAACTGGTCGGGGTGGTGTTGTGAACAGATGCACGGATATTTTTGCCTAATTTAGAACAGCAAAAGCATGTGCAGCTAAAAACACGCTACAATGGCAATAGTCACCGATTCTACTCAATGTCTGAGCTTCATACTTTTCGAATTATTCTCACTAAAACTAGTCGGATTTCACCGATTTATGCGGATGAGATGTCATGCACTTACAGGTTACAGTATTATGTCCAATATTTTTATTTCCTTTCGATATGAAAGAACAATATTACAACGTTGAGAGGAAACTAACAACTCAATCCCGAAGACGATGCAAAACTCTGAGTTTTAAATTGTTACAATAGGATTCATCTTCTCTGGACGCTTTTGGTAATTTACAGTAAAACTGATCCTGAACAACAGCAATCAGACACAAACTTCTGTTTACAGAGAAATTGTAATATAACTGCCACTTTATAGCAAAAAATAACCTAAACTGCCCTGAAATCATGTTATGTCATCGATCGAACTGAACTTCAATCGCTTGTTGGAGAAAAGACGAATAAAACAGCCTAAACAATGCAATTGCACAGCCACGATTCACCGATAACCGATATTAGGAAATGTCTAACTTAATTTTATCCCTGAGCATTATCAGTGTTGCCAACCACTGCTTGCTGAAGCCACTCTTGGATTTATTACACGGCCGGTAGCATTATAACATTAAGCTTTCAGTTCTGGTACGTTGAGATTTACTAATAAGTTTCTACACATCCTCATAACTGCGCAGTGGAACCATCAAAAAAAAAAAAAAAAAAAAAGAAAAATTTGAATCTAAATCATGCTTCAAGAACTAGAACAATTTAACTAAAAGCAGACTTCATATTCCAATTCTTATTCTAACAGAAACAGCTATAACGACATAAAAACAATTATAAAAGTAGGTTGAAAAACACCACAAAGCATTTTTACAAAGTATTTGTAAAAATAAGTAAAAGTGATACAGATATCTAAGTGACAACGAGCGCTAAATGATAAATAATTAGCAACATCAACAAAACACACACATGTGAAAATCACTGTGATATAAGGGAACCATAAACTTGGACATTAGTGACGAGAAATTGAAAATACAAAAGCGCAAAAATAAAATGTAGAATTTTCGAATGCACTGAGCACCAATAAAAACACGAAACCTTCCTTTCTTTCCGCTTTATATCGGTTTACTCGAAGATTTTATTCGAAATAAAATGTTGTGCATAATATTTCAGTAGTTCAAACCAGGCTAGTGGAAAGGAAATGGAAAAAAGGTTGTTTATTGCTCTGTTGGATAGACATGTAAATCTTCAAGTAAGATGAAACCTAAGCAACAATTGCATGAAGTCATAAACATGTATGTAAATAACACTAAATGAAAACAGCACGAAAAAGTGTGTTAATGTAAGTGACATTAACTATGTAATTTTTGCTCTCAAACAATATGGTAAATCCTACGGATTCGAGCGATTGGTGTTGAAAACCAAATCTTAAACCTGCCCCAAACAACGTTTTGTTGAAGCATGCACTGCCTCGATTAATGCCGAGCGAAGACCTAGAAATAAGGAAAGAAAGTACTTTCGAGTAACAATCCTATGAAATGAAATTGTATAAAACAGTAAGAACCATTTTTTTCTAATTCCTTCACTCCATATATCGTACTACCACCGGCAGAGCAAACGTCATCTTTTAGAGCAGCCGGATGTTGACTCACTTCTAAAATCATTCTTGCCGCACCCTGCAATAAAGCTGCGCAAGTACAAATAAAGGACTTTACAGTTTAAACTAAAATTCAAACTCAGATCTGTCACAAAGACGGATAGACCTTTATGTTAATCGACATTTCTTTATTTACTATTTTTATTTTTATTTATGTGTATCAAGTGTTCTGCACTTCTACTTTTCATCTCTCTTTAGAACCTTTCAAGCTCATAAAAACTGATCAATATAAAACCCTATGATCATCTCTTCTGATCCTTTTCGAACCGCATCATCTGGAACCAGATTCTACATCTCCAAAACTATTAGGAATAAAACTTAAACAAATATATTTCGTCAGAAATCTTTTAGTTAGAAATTTCACGCCTACCCTATTGTAATCAAGTTTCTGTTTAACCAACACATTTCACATGTATATTTTGTTTACATATGTCAGTGTTTTGCCATATATTAGTAATAACTGATGTTACGGTGCAAATTTTTAGTGGATACACAAAATATATACGCATGATATTCGCACATTCTCGACACATTAATATGTAAACATTATTTACAAGCTGTAACAAAAAATGTTTATAGTTTAATGCTGCAATTGTAGAAGGAAATGCGCAATAAACAAATGCGTTGGATACTGTACATTATACATCTGTAAGCTAAATAAAAGTGAAATAAATCAATTATTCAATGCTACTAACATCACATTCCATCAGAATAATAGGGAATAATAAACGTCCACACTATACGAAAAAACTTTTGATCAGTGCAAATAACTTTTCCTGTTAATTTGTAAACACACTCAAAAACGAATAAAAATAAGAGAAATATCTCAAGTTTACCATAACAGTTTGAGCAGCTAATTTCGTTGAAGTTGTACGATCAACACCACCAAGGACGCCTCCATCTGATAGCGCTTCAATTGCCATAAACACCTGAAATATGTGAACATATGTGATGAAAATTTTTGATTTGAACTAAGGATCGGGATGTGAACCAGAATAATGAAGCAACAAACGCAGAGCATGTCGAAAGGAAACATTTTCAAAGAAACGGTATCAAAACTAACAAAAGCTGGTCCACATCCTGCAACTGCTGTAGCCGCATCAAATGATTTTTCACTGATCACCAAACAAATACCGACATGTTGCATGATACACTTCATTAAATCAATCTACAAAAGAGTTACTAGTATAATAACCGAAATTTAATATCACAAACTTTTGACATTACTGGACCTTAAACTCATTCCATTTCTTTTACTTTATGCATTTTAGAGGATCATATTTAAACAATATCGTTAAAAAAGAGAAAAAGAAAATGATTTCAGAACTTTGTCTTGCTGCATGTATGAGCTAGAGCACATGATCGATGCTCCAGAACAGATAGTAACTGGAAGGTTGGGCATCAGACGCACCAGTCCACGCTTTGAGATATAACCTTTCACCGCAACCTTAAATTAAAATTGTTAAGTTAATTACAAATACCTCATTAAAATACGCTGAAGATAGACACGTTTCTTCCAGTTACAGAGCGCCGAAATTATCTGTGATCGTTATGTCACATTAAAAAAAAGTTTTTAACCTTTTCATTTTGTTCTTAACCATTATATTCTGAAAATTTATTCATCTTCTTTGCGCGTTCAAATTCGAACTGTTTTAATTTGAGAGTTCCGCAGATCTGTCTCAATATCACAAAAGAATCTATCAAAAAATTTTCAGTACTAAAAACTGTGGTATAACAGCAAATTTTTTAAGCAACTTCAAGAAAACATACCTCTCTCTCCAATGTCTTCACGTCAACTCCACCCATAATAGAGACAATTAATGGGGTGTTTGTAAATGCTTTATTGTTTAATTCCTCCAGTACTGCTGTGTAAATCTGTGGTTTTACAGACAAAAAAACAACTCCTGAAAATCATAGTATTTCAATTATTCTGATGTCCACTATCAAGATCCTCCAATTCCAAACACTAAGTGCAGGAACTAAATGAAATGAGATGAAAAAACGTGCAAACAGAAACAAAAGGTCGAATTAAAACAGCAGGAATTTATAGATGATCACGATGAAATCCCAATGTTTAATAATTTTTACGAGAATTTCATGAAAAAATGCACATAAATAGAACTAATGACGTTATTTAAATCACCACTACAGAACCTTCTCATTTATTCAGACCAAATACCTTGTACAAAAGGCTTCGCTTATTAATCTGAGTAAAAAGAATGTATTAGATAAGAATACCATTACAGTATACATAATGTATATTATGAAATGGGGCTTAACTTCATAAACCACACTAGTCATTACCAAATGATTGTAGAAACCGATGATATTATGATTAATAGTGAATTACATAATGCATACCTTGACCATGAACCCGAATTAGATCATTATTAGACGTGTACACATTTACATATCCCAGCTGCTGCAATTTGATTTCCTCAGTGGAACGTTTATATTTACAATAAAAAGTTACTTTAAACAAGAATTACAGCAAACAGATCCACAATAAAATGTACTAACTGAACATATAATACCTTCCATCGCTGTGCGGATGATGCTGTTTTAACGCTGAGAGCAACGTCATCCTTAGTTATGAGACCTGAACAACATGTAACTTTCTGCATATCAAATACTTTCCTGCACAATTACAAGCAAACTTCTTTACTCGATCATGCCTACTCTACAATAGCAATAAAACAAAACTGAATACTGGGGAAAAGAAAATGTGATTATTTCGCTGATTTGATCTGATTATGAAATTACGTAAGTGCGCAGAAGATTGAGTCTGTATTAGCCATGTGGTACTTCACCTTTCGTCAACATTGTAGGTTAAAATCGAGTTAGATACAACTCACCAGCAGATTCAAAACCACAGATGAGAGCAGCTGCCATCTTACCGCCACCGATAAAAGTCAGCTTTGGTTCCAAATCAGTGTTTTTAAATAATTTCCGCAAATTCATAGAGCCATTCTTGATAGTCCCAAAATCTTCCTGAACACTTCAATATTATCTGTAAATGCACAATAAACACTCAATTTTGGCCAATATTAAGAGTAAGAGTAAGCTGTAAATATCTGAAGCACTTACACCCATTTTCGAAGTTGTATTTCAAATTTTTTATATCAACAGGATCAGCAACTCAATCTAAAACGGTAATGATTAGCTATGAATTATTTAGTCCCCACTTTTGCTACTTCTACTGCTAGCAAAATTACAGGAATCAAAAAATATACAGACCTCACAATACAAATTTGCATCTCTATATCTATCCACAAATTCATATAACTAATTCCTTCTGCAATACTAGAATGCAAAAGAGTCTGAAGTTCTTGAAATCAAGAACCTCTACACTGCAACCTCACCGACACTTCAACTATATTTTGCAACTCGGCTGGGAACCTACGAACCACGTGAGATCTCAGTACTAGCTATGAGTGGTAGGACAGTCGCAAATGATTAAGGGCGGTGGTATCTATTACAAATCAATAATACCTGGCAGTCCCTATCATTCTGCACTGTTGTCGTTAGATTTGCATATCACTTTCTGCATCAGTACTCATTCTGAAAGGCATGAATGCCTGCATCGGTAATTCTTCCATAGCTACTCGTATTTTCTCTGTGGATACTTTGTGCGAAGTGAAGTCCTAATTTGCCATGAATGATCGATCAGAGGAAGTTTTAAGTCAGTCATAGCCTGGAGAAAATGGTGAGAAAAAGCAGTTCAAGGAAGTTCATCGACATCAATGAAAAGCTAAGTAATAATTGTCCAACTATAAAGTTCCTTCTTTTTCTCGGGGAACGACTTAACCTTCCAACATTACGCGTACCATTTGATGCATGAATATAAAACATATATTTCTGTCTTGTTAATAGACTATTCCACGTTTTTAAGTACAGTGTACATGAAAATATGGTTTTCAATTATGTCTTTTGTCATATCCAATGAAATATTAATAAAGATTTCAGTAAAAACTATCTGTTGCTAAGAAAATTCGGTTTCAAAAATGTTGTTTTCGAGTTTTAGAATGAAAAAGTTCATACATCAGTGAAATGCAGCTGCGAGTAAAAATGAGAGTAAGAAAGGAGCAAGGAAAAATGGAGGGAGCAGACCTGTAGAATTGTCAAATTCCTAACGTGTATAATATGAAGGTGAATTCCCCACGCTGTACGCTGCAGTTCTACTCATTTTGAAAGTTATGGAAGCAAGCAATTTTAGAGCAGTTTCAGTCTACAAAATACTTTCTCATTATTTGATTGAAATCGTCTGCCTGCCTGACACCAGTTCCGTCTAACTCATATGACTTTTGCCTGAGCAGGAGGTTTAGTTCTTTCGAGAGTTTCTATAGGTTTCGCGATAACTTTGCACTGGAAGTGAAATTGATGCTCTTCGAGTTCTACAAATTCACAAATTGAGAAAATATTCGGATTCGGGATATTTTACAGCAGCTTACAACTTACAGCTTACAACTACAACTCAAATTTGAATTTATTCTTACGTCAAACGTACGTACCGTGGACAATGCATTGCTTTTGGAAGTTTCGGCTGGATTTTTTTAAGATCCTGGAATAAGCTGCTTCGAACAGTTATCAGCAATGAAATCATACAACCGTAACAGAATAAACGAAAAGGCAGCGGAATCAAAGTCTCTGAGGAAGTAGTTTTTTGAAGGTTAATTGCTTGTGTTTGCATAACATATATAGCTATAGTTGCAATATTTTGATATATCCGGCTGCATACAATGATTATTTCACAGTCGTCGAGATGCTGCGTGCTGGCGAGGTGTTGTCTTGACGCAACAGAACTTCGTGTGTGGTCCGGCTTTCCTGGTGGTCTTTTAGAATGGATGAACGGCAATACGATAGTATGATTGAATGACCGTAGGAAATTATGTATGTTTTTGCTTGTGTGTGTCTGTATGTATATGTACGTATATATCTCTGACCGCACTTACTGCTGAACCACTTTTAGAAGTTGGGAGTTTTATGTACGGAAACTTACACGACTGGAAAGGAGCGAAATGTTGTCGTGAATGTTAGCGGTGAAATTCGGTAGTCTGCATATCACTATTTTCAGGGGCTACTCCTAACATCCATTCATACGGACTGAATTTAAGGATGCTGCGTTTGAATGATATGATTGCAAAAAAGTTGAATGTAGAACTAATAAGTGCTAGGAGGCAGTGATCAACAGAAGGTCTTCTTTAGTTGCTCTGAACATGTGATCAAGGACAGTAACACGGATAAGCAAATGGCACACGTGTGGAGTATAAAGTGATACGGAGATAAAGAAATGCGAGGATTTCCTAAGACTGAAGAACTATTTCAGACTAAGGAGGGGAATCGTCCAAGACCATTTGGACTGAAGGCGATGTGATGGTACACAACGATTAGTATTAACTATTGCTGCTTCTATTTTCCGTCTTTAGCAGAGTGAAACCGATACTCAACAAAGCATCTCGAGATAACATGAAATTATATTTGTACTTTGGGAATAACTACATACAGCTGGTTATCACTATTGGTCATTGTGTATAAACAAGTTTTTATTTGAATCGAATCTCTTTGCATTCTTTGGACAGACAAAGTTGAACACTTCTGATGAATATATCATCGAAAAAGATCCACGGATCACGGAATCCCTTAATAGTGTAAGAAATTAAACCCAAAAAAAAAAAAAAAAAAGTGAGAACATCTGCAAGTGCATGCAATTGACAACATTTAAAGATCTGATTTTTGGCATACAAAATGGTCATACAACCGGATGAGGACGTGAAAGGCAAATTGGGAAATAAGGTTGCGGTTCCTAACTTAGTGTTGATTCGGAGAAAGAAGGAACTTCGAAGTTATTCTGCTATGCTTTATCTTGTAGAAAACAGTGGAATCAAATAAATTTGTCGTGAAATAGAGTCTAATTCGAGTAGATCGTAGAGCCAAATGGGGAAATTGAGATAAAGGTTGTTATTGAACGAGGCTATTGAACAATATTAAAAAATTTAAGGAAGTAAATCTGTAGGGGCACAGAAAACGAAAAGTGAAAAATCGGTGATCGCGAACAAGACTACCTTCTTTACAACAAATCGTATGATTATGTGAGTAAAGATCTGTCATTATCGGATGATCTTTATTCCTCATACAGTAAGAGTTGGGTTTTAACATTATATCAATTCTCATAAGACTGACTACTGGATTAGAAAGCCTCTACAATATTTCAACATTGAAAGTGATTTGGTAGAACAGGGGGTGTTATTTGAACAAAGACCTGATGACCTGCTAACAGTTAGGCTGGAAGATCTTGATAACAAAATTGGGAGAGATTTTCAACACAATGACTGGTGCACATATGTTTTGTTAACAAACTGTAAAATTCCAGACAATGCAGATGAGTATTGGATAAAAGATTCCTTAATTGAAACATTTATGTGATTATTCAGATAAGAAAATGTTTACTCTTATGGATTTAATACAAATTTGTTTCGACATATTATATTCGGTTTTTCCGACATTTCCGATTGAAGGGGATTTTCTCTATTCAGAGAAAACCTTCAGGAAGAGAAATTGGGTACCTTTGCTTGAGTGGTCGTTTTTTTTTTTTTTTTTTCGTAAAGCGGAACTGATTTGTCGAACACTCTTATTGGATTTTTGAACTATCTTTTTTGTTGTTTTCTAGAGGTACAGCATATTTAATATATTCACTGGTCGTTTAGGAGTGTTTCATGTGTTAATTCTATTGAGGAATTTTTTACTTCTTTATTTCTTCTTTCTTTAGTTTCTTTTATCCTGGCTAATTTCCATACACCGTGAGGAACTTTTCATTTGTTAACCAATACATATTCTTTCTCATGAAGTGTTCTTGTTACTACATTTTTTAGGAAGAGTGTTCTCTTTTAGTTCGTTCTCGAAGACTGGTCAAATACTCTTTTCTGCGTTTGTCCCAAAATGTATCCAATTTCCTTGGTACCTAATTTGTGAGAGGAAAATTCTTCCTGATCGCTGTCGTTAACAATTGAAATAACGAAGGAAGCAATAGGCAAGATAAAATCAATCGGACATATGATTACGTTATCTTCAAAGTTTATGTTAGTGGCCGAGTATTTAATATACCTTCGACTTCTACCATTTTTTATTCTCTTCCCCTTAATAACTTCCCACCAATGGCTCTTCTCATGGCCTATTTGCTTACTCCAATTGTTCACTCATAAATTCCACTACTTGATAGGTTTTTTGTATGATACTCTTCCAGATTATTCCTTTATTTGCTAGGAAAAATGCATATTTCGGTCCATAATGGTCTAAAAACTAATTGGAACTGGCTATCATTATCACTTAAGACTAATTTAGAATAACCTCGTCGGGTTTAAGAAGGTTCTACCAGTTCTGCTCTTGTTGTGAAACATATAAAGAAAGCTACCCATCTTTTATGCCTGTTTCAGTTCCGTTAGGAAGAGGACCCGTATAATCCAATCCAAGATGTGTGAATTTGGAAGCGCATGGCTCAGGTTTCTAGAAGACTAGGCATAACGGAAACTTGAATGGCTTTGCTTTCCATCCTAATTAGGTTCTACCTTTGGGTTTTGTAGTCAGAATTCTGTTCTCAATTTTGAAAGTGTATGAGCAATTCCAGTATGATGTGTTCTATGAAAAGTTCAGTTATGGGATTATGTCGCGACAATTAAATTGGATGTAGACTGCCTTTATTCAATTCGGAATTTTCCAATCGATTTTTGAATTTCCACTAGCAATTTTCTTTATTATACTATGGATTATTTATTTATTTATTCTCTCTGATTGTGCTTACCTAATCAATACCTTCATTGCTAATTTGCAATCATTTGTTGTAAGCTGACCGTTTATCGTTAATAAGATTGTAACCATGGTATTTGTCTTCTTATTGTAATTTTATGAATTTAAGAGTTCATGCAGTTATTCTTATTAATCTTGACACTTACTGAAACGACTCGCATCTATAAGTTTAAAACTTGTTTTTGTAATTTTCTTGTTACTTTCACGAGGATTTCACTTTCTTCATTTTTAAAGTCTCCATCGAAATTATATTCTTTTGTGCCAGCTGGTTTCCTTCTTTACCAGCCATTATGGTCTTTTTTCCACTATATTTCGTAGACCTTAAGTTCTGTTGGAGAAAGTCCATTTGTTTCATTATCCTCTGGATTATTTTTCCCTAGAATGTACAAGCATAACTCGATTTTGTACAAATTTTGGTAGTAGTAGGGAATGGCTCTGTGGTGCACATTTAAAATCTGACCATAAAGTTACTGGTACATTTTGGAATTCTAACTGATTTGTTACAAAATGAGCTGCTCGTACTCCAATAAGTATGTCTTACTGAGATGCTATGAATTGTAAAATTGTTTCTTTAGACAGATTCCTTTAATTCTAAAGGTTTTAAGATGACCTGGATAACATCTATTTTGGGATTCAAATTGAATCAAGAATTTTTTCAAATCAGTTTGCTTCTGCTCGATCTTTGTTGAGAATAAATTTGTTGAATTCATTGTCATTTGAAAGAAATTCCATTAACGCTTCTTTGAAGAAAGATTTCATATCTTCATAATTTTTGAATGCTTCTTGGGTTGCTTTATCTGGTGATATAACATTGTTAAGTAGTAGAGATTTTTCTACATTTCCAATGCAATTTCGCTTCCATGAGTTTTTAGGTGATAGTTGGGAGTGGCAGAAAATAAAAGGGAAGATGATATCACCTCAAATAGAACTCTTTGGATGCAGCAGCATACCGTGTTGTCTTTGATAACTTGTCTTTAAATATCCTTCAATCAAAGGAATCCAATACAGTTTCGTTCTGGTGGAAATAATTTCAGTTATAAAGATGTCTTTTTAGTATCGGCTATTCTTACATTTTCCACCATTTTGAATGGAATGAATACGAACCGCAATATAGAACATCGTTTAAACTTTTCATCCCTTTAAGGTGAGCAGAAGCATCGTAAACGATTCTTAATTCTGTTATTGATTTGCTTCATAATTAACAAATATATATAGAAGTATATAACAACCTGATTGAAGTCTAAGACTAATTCTTAAATAATATTGCATTGCATTTGGCCTTGAATTATTTCATTGTGCCGATTAAGTGTTCATTTGTCCACATGAAATCGTCTAATTAATGCTTTCAGTCTTCCGAGACAAAGACCACAGTTATCATTTAAATTAACCGTTGAATCTTTCCAAAGCCAAACTACTTGATATCGTCCATTTTGTTTAGTAATAACTTCTTTGAAATGCTTCAGCGCTTCATGAGTTTTCATCATGAGTTTTAGGTTGTTCCTGAAAGCTTATAAATTTTAGTTTCCAAATTGATGTATTTTTGAACTCGTATTATACTTTTTACACTCATCGATTTAGTTTTAACAGGAGATGTATCAAATTTGAATTGGTCTTTGTCACAATTATGAGATTTGTTGATTTATCCAGTTATTATGAGATCAACATTTGTGAGGATTATGTGGAACTGTGACATCATACTATGGACTTTATTTGACGACATGAATCCGAAGTAGTCAGCCCCAATAAGTAGTATATATCGTGCCTTTTCCAATAGTCTCCTTTCACATCTAGCTGTTCTTGGGATATCATACGTGGCAAATCATAGTGTCTTACTTAATTACTTGAAATTCCTTTATTAGGTAATCCAACGTACCAGTAGTTATAATTCTGGATTCCAAGGCTCTTACTTCGATTTCTACTTTTGTAGTCTGACATGACCTCGGAGTTTCGTTACCCAATGAGAAGAGTTCAAAATGAAACTAGAAGAAAACAAAAGTTTTTGATTTCTTCTAACCTCAATTCCTGCAATATAAAAGATGATTATGAATCAGTGTCAAGTAATTAAATTATTATGAATTAATAAACTATCAAGTAATTAATAAAATATCATATTTCTGTAGAAAAACCGAATAATATGTTGGAATAAAACTGTGTTAAATCTGAGGGACTAAAGATTGTTTTAATCAAATATTCCTTAGGCAAATATAAAACTGTTTCAAAAATGTATGTGATATAAGCAATCATTCATTATCCAACTGTAGGTGGGTTACTCATGAAATGTTACAGCTGTTAACAAAGAGTATATGCATTACTTAATATGTTGCTCTTTTGTTCTAAACCAAATCTACTTGCAATATCGAAATATCGTAAAGGTTTTCTAATCGTTCTTATGAGCAACTGACATAGTGTTAAGACCCAATTCTTGCCATATAAGAATAAAGGTCATCTGACAGCTCTTTACTCAATGTAATCATGCGTTCGTTGTGAGGCAATGCCTTTAAACCATTTGTCTTGGTCAGCTTTTTATAAATTATCAATATATTGCCAATATAGATAAATACTTCGTGTAACGTAATTATTAGCAAACAACCAGCAAAACAGATTCCATTACAGAACATTCGTCTGCACAAACTCCAAACCACAACCAACAAAATTACTTAATAAATCCATATTAAGGTCTGTTTTGCATAATTATCAGATTTCCCCCTTGTTGGCAGTAGGAAACCAAAATTGCAATTTCAGCTAACCAAGTGATAGAACTTGTGCATGGTCATAACAAGTTTGATGGAAATTTTAGTAGAGCAAAATAATTGAATTTAGGAATGAAGAGGTAACGTGAAATATTGAAGCAATGTTGCTGTGGAAAATCTAGAAAAGGAATTTTCTCTGGTTTTTCGTCCTTTCCTCACTGACAGGTAAGTTGCATTATACTTTGTGCTAAATTGTTTTCTTTATTCTTTCTTATTAAATTTTAGTCCTGTTATACGTTTCTGAATACTTCCTAATGCAAATATTTTAAAATGTATGGTAACTGATTAATTATTATACGTCAGAAGCCATTACTGATAAAGCCTTAGAAGGAAAAGCAAACATTATCACCGATATCAATAACACTATAGCAAATTATGCTACTCTCTTTATGAGGCATAGTAATTGTCCCACTCTTTTTCTCCTGCTCTCACATTGTTGTCGTTTCATACTTACAAGGAAGAAATGGCCAAAGCAAAATATTCACAGAAATCTAAAGTGATGCAAATCCCTCGAAATGAAATTTCAATCCCAAATGAAGAGACTTGTTCTCTCTGCATAAATCAGTTTTGATTGTATGATTCTCAGAGAGTAGTTTCATAACCTAATCCTTGTACTACATTTTCAACTTTACATTAAATATTATATTTACATTAGACATTAAATCTGCTTGATTTTATATAAAGATTATTTTAAAATGAATAGTTTATACGTAGAAGCATTGCGCAGTAAATTTATTTAATGAGGGGTGAACAACCTGTAGTCAAGCAGAATGAATGAAAATAGGTATTAAAAATCATGTTTTTATACTTTTTTTAATACTAGCTTTGATATATGATATATATACTTATTAATGCATACCAATCTAAAATGCATTTCACTGGTACTGAAAAATGCACAAAAACATTATTATCAATCACGGTCTGCCAGTTTAAAGCGCAAAAGGAAAAAATTGTGGGGGACTCGTTGATGAATGTGCAGCATACTTGACATTTCAATAAAATAAATTCAGGCCTGAACATCATCATGTTTCTCTTTTGTTACGATCCTTGTAAATCTTTTAGCAGTCGGTCACAGACTAATTCCTACGATAAGTTTGTATTAATGCCTTCTGTTTTCTCAGCATTATGTTAACAACGCCTTACTCAACATCTATTAAAAATTTTGCCTCAAGTAAACGCTGCAATACATTGACATGTGAGTTTGTTTATTTATGCAGAGTGATATACAATTCGATATTTAACCTTTTGCTTTTATTCATGATTGTTCTAATTAGTAATAAAAATTAAATTCTATGCATTTTCCTTGCGAGAAAATTCGGAATAAGCCAAGTAGATTACCCGATTTCGCCATCAGTATTAAGAACTTCATGTTACTATTAATTTAGATGATGACGAAACAGAAATTTCAAATGATACCGAAGTACAGAAGTGCATTACAATAAATGGTCAAAGCGTCATAACTAATACAGACTTAAACAACATTAATATAGCGCAAATAAATATTGGTAAATCAAGTACATTTCAATACTAAATTTTTGCAACAGTAAAAAGGTATAATTTGACATTTTGCAGAAAAACAACTGTAAAAGAAACAAACATTACGGCCATTCTCTCAGTGATAAAGTTAACAGATTTACTAATCAATATCTAATATTTGTTCTATTTATTAGATATGTGGCATCCGAAATTAGAAATTTTTTCCATTAAAAGTCTTAAAAATCTTCGGATTGATACTACTCTCCAAATTTTCTTGTTAACGACTATTTATAAAGATCCTGGAAGAAAAAAATGCACAAAACTGCAAGAAGGAAAGTAATAATATCACTGAGCTTCATACAGCGAACCAATATGTTACAAAAGTAATAACAGTAATGAAAATAATAGAAAAAATAATATAATAGCAACAGTAAGGTAGTAACATTATTTCCATGTTCACCAATATCTCAAGCGAAGAGTTATGCTCTGGAGTGTTTAACGAACAATGCTTGAAAGAAAATTTTACCTGCACATTCGAAAAGGTTAATAATTTTGTTTGGAGGGGTTTTCTTTCCTTGATCTCGGGATGCCTATTTTGATGTAGAATACAGGAATACAATCCTTTTGTCTTCATTAACAGGATCTCTTTGTTAACAGATATAGCACTACAATAATTAAAATTTTTGTAATAAAGTATTGACTATTAGGATGAAGTATTGCTGCTGAAAGAAGCTTTGGAAAAGATGAACTGTGTATTTACATAGCATATATACTTATTCAAGTGGAAATAGTCGCCATATATTAAACTTCAATATGTTACAAGATAATAATTATTTACGTGTAAACAACTTAATTGCAGATTCAACACCAAATAAGAATGCTATTTTAATATAAACAAAAAAGCGGGAAGCTATTTTAGACTAGCAACAGATCGGAGAGTAATTGATGAAGATTTAAGGTAGTAAACAACAAACCTATTGTGAGAAACATGTGATTTTACAAAACTCTGTACATAAATCATTGGACATATTCATTGCAATATTTCATAATATTGCGATATTTGAAATTTGTGATAGAGTGATTGGAACATCCTACGTTTAAAAATCAACATATTTGCTTCAAAAAAGGATTGCGTTTTTTTTTTTTTTTCTTTTTAATACTGATTTCACGTGAAAAATTTCAGCTATGGAAAAATTACAATTTATGATAAAATCATACTGATGGAATGCTCGTTAGGTATTGTTCATTCACTTAATAATTATGTTTTTGGACAAGATAAAGGTCGAAACGATGACGTCATGATGTGTATTTGAGATCTTCGTTCAGTATGCTGTGTCACTGTACAGTGGATGGAACAAAAAGACATTTTTTCAGTTTTATTTTTTTTCAGCAATATTTTCAGTTTTAATGCAATGCCACTATGTATTTTCATGGCATACAAATTGAACCACTTCTCACTTTACAAATCAGCAATGCATTGCTTATTTCTTGTTTTTAACTGTTCAAATCCTTGAGTAATCTTATTTTTTCAAGAAGAGAAAGTGTTCCTAAAATGCATTTTTGTTTCTTAAAGATTTGGGACTATAAAAGACCATTCACTAAATGTTGACCTTATCGCTAAGAAAAATTCACTATAGACGATTACTTTTTAGCTTACCTTTACTATGTATCATTTTTAATATCTGCTTACATGAATAATAGAGTCTCCAAAGATTTTTACAGATGTTTTTAGCTTAAGATGTTGAAGCACTGTTGGAATACATCCTTTTCAAAAGAATCCCATAAACACTGTTTGTTCCCAAGTTCCAGTATGAAATGAAGAACAATGAGACTGCGTAAGAATTTTCATATATCTTTGCTGTAATTGAGTTGCATTAACTGATGCAGTAAACATGACTGATCATATACGATCACTTTTTCATTCTATTATACCCATTATTATCAATCTTTTGCTATATTTCAGCAAAATCAAAGCATATTTCGTTGAAAGTTCTCTTATTACTCATATAGAAACGGAATTAAAGATTGTTGTCAAGAACTTTTACCCACTTTCTTGAAGGTTTCTAGAATTCTTAGAGTTGATAAAACTCAATCACTGCAAAAATATGAAAAATAAAGTCCTATTTTGAAAATTAACTACTTTTCAAAATACTTCAACAATAAAATATCACATCGCAACTCACAGGAGTAAAGGAAACCATTGATTAACATTCGCACAAAGAAAAGTAGCGGTGTACCAGCATAAAACATAAATTTAGAACAGCTATTTCGGAAGATTGTGAGTGAAGACTATTTAGTCACAACATTTTGATGACTATGTCTTATCTTCCTATTCTTATCTTTTTTTTCTTCTGTTTCTTATTTTTTGAATTATCTTCTGGGAGCTTTGTAGCAGTACTTCGGATTTGTAGTTTTCGGTATATTATCTTCATAAAGCTGCGAATTAGAAGTGCAGTGACACTGATAATGTTAATACTTCGGATTTCAAAGTTGGAAGCGACTAAATGTTTAAAAATTATGAGAACAATAAGCAATAAGGAAAAGGAGAAGTCTCAAAAATACTATTTACCGAAAAACGCCAGCAATAGTGGCAATTCAACTTGAAATGAAGATCCTGTAAGTTAAGCAGTCGCACATGAGAAATCAGAACAAGGCATGATCTCTTTCCGGAAAATTGTCTATTATAAATGCTCTATTCTGCCCATTTCA